CAAAAAGTGCTGCTGCAAGAAGAAGAAGAACAAGAAAGGCAAGAAGGGCAAAGATGGTTTCAACATGAAGAACATGGAGGGCGGTGAGGTATGACTCCTCCTGATGCTTTCCTCAACCTTAACTCAGTCCCAACCCCAACTATCACCCTAACCACAACCCTTGGCCCTAAACAAAACCTTAAACTCTAACTCTAAGCCAGGGTGTCAACATGACAACACACCTACTTATGACTCCTTGAGCATCTGACAGTTCCTGGCTGAAAAGGACATCACTGTGCTGGAGCCACCACCCTGCTCACCTGATGTGACCCCGTGTGATTTTTATTTTCCCATTCCCAACCTCACGGGGGTCATCAAGCGGACCCTTTATGAAGACCTGGATGATAGCTGTGATGACAGAGTTGGAAGAATCCTTCCAGGAGCGCATATAGGAGTGACTGATAAGGCTGGAAAGTGAATCAGACAACGCAGGGGGATTACTTGGAAGGGGTAAAGTTTTAGTTTGGATTCGAATTAAGTCCTTTGTGACACCATTCCAGGCACTTTTCTGACACTCCTCATGAAATCCAACCCCACCCTCAAACCCAAATCTGAACCCCTTACCCCAACCTTGAAACTGAACTATATCCTCCTCTTAGCCTATCCATAACCCCATAAACCCTATTCACAAAATGATGCCTAATTTTTGACATATTAGTCATGTAATTCTTTTTTTTTTTTTTTTTTTTTTTTGTCACTAACCAATTTTTTTCTTCTGCAGTAGTAGTCCAGAGGACCCTTGCATTTGCCCTTACTTGTACCCGATCTTGTGCTTGTTCAAACATACTCCTCTGCAGTGAAAAATAACACGCTTTGTTTCAACTAGCAAGTGGGCGACAGCACAAGCTCCACTTGATCAATTAAGAGCATACATGTTGATTCATCTGCACTCTAATCGACTGACGCCCACGTAGACCGATTGCAGCTCTTTAATTAAAGCACTTTATTAGCATCAGTGAAGGTTCTACACAAGTGTGTCATTTTTCAGAGCGACAGCGACCACTCTCTCTCTTGTTGTCTTGTGAGTTGAATCTCTTCCTCTCTCTGCTTTCCTTCCTGTTTTGTGGCTATGTGTCTGCCTTGTGTTTCTTGACCGTGGTGGACCGCCTTTCTACGGTAGGTGGATTGGCTGTTGTGGGGGTTGGCGGGTTCTCTGGAATGGCTTCTTTAAGTTTATCTCCCCCCCATTGAATACCTTGGAAAGCCATGATCTGCTCCAAAGAAGACATCTAACCATCTAATGCAGTGATACGGACCACAGAGGGACAGTCTAACACTATTAATCAATGCATGTGCTACAGGGCATGTTGTGGTGGGGTTATAGAAAACGAAGATGACTGCATGAATCCCAACCACTCATGAACTTCTCTGAAATGCCAAATAAAAGTAACATACTTTCAGGCTTTAATTTGACACTGATTGTCGTACAGTCTACCCTGCGATTGACTGGCAACCATTCCAGGGTGCACGCCAGGGGTGGGGTGGCCATTGGGAATTTCGGGAAAATATGTGAAGTTTCCTGAACGGCCGGTGTATTTCCGGTCCGGTCCCGGCCATCACAGCCACAAGCAATCGTAACAGGAATGATTGAATCACTTGTCCATTGGACTTTACAACTTTAGCCTCTTGAACAGGGGGCTCGGGAGAGTGATGGAATGCTCATGATTACGCGCATGTGTTGCCTCCACTGACTGGCTGCACCTTGTCCTGCACTAGCATGTCAGAAGAGCTCAAACGAGAGGACAGAGTTGCTCAAAAGAATAATCTGTGTTGATATTCATGTGTTTAATCAGATGCTAAGCAGTGGACTCTAAGGGGCTACGTGGCATGCTAGTGAATTACGGGGAGGCCCAGTGCATTGATCTCCATCGTACTTTGTCATTTGATAGCATCATGTTGTCACTTCATCACCGCAGAAACCACAGGACGATGACGATGATGAGGGAGAGACTGGGCTCACGGAAGAGGAGAAGGAGGAAGAGGAGAAGGAGCAAGAGAAGCTGGGCAAACTCCAATATTCCATTGACTACGACTTTGAAAACACAAAGGTCCGTGGTTCGCTATTAAGCTCCTTAAAACTAGTTGAATCAAGAACCCCTTGGTTTTTGACGTTCTGATTTACGACATTTCGAGGTTACAAAGAGAACGTGGTTGCGGTACCTGAAAATATGTAAATTTTCTGCCGCACTGACTGTTTTTCAAACTGTCGCTTTTGGACACTCCACTAGCTGCCAACACATTACATCACCAGAGCTGTACCGGCAAAGGAACGTCACGTCAAAAACAGTAGATTATCTCTGAAGTATTTTTGCTCATTTTACATGTATGAGCAATGTGATCCATGATTTATTTATTTCTCTAATTATTTTGTTATTTTTATATCCAGAACAGGTACTCTTACGGCCAAAACGACGCAGAGTTGATGATTTCCGTCAAGAAAATATGAACAATCTGTAACAGTTGGCAGCTCAGCTACACACAAGAAGTTTTATATTTTGTATGTTGCCTCATTACTGAATCAAGGTTACCTGAAACATCATCTGAAAACAACCTAGAACCATGATTTTGATAGTATCGTATCGTATCACACCCATCGTATTTGCTCTTTTTCTTCCTCGCATAAGTTAGCCCATGCTCCCTTTCAGTGTTCTGGTACATGTAATTATTAACCTTCTGTCAAAGCAAGAATTGGACTAATTCTGTTGTGCAACACTAAAATGCAAATTGAATGAGGCCAGTGGGGCATTTTTTTTTCTTCAGTTTTTCAGGGCTGATTCCAAAGCAAGAGTACAAGTGATGAGTAGCTGTCAGGTTGCACAGTTTGCAGTTTTCTCAGCTGCCAACCCGTAATCACTTGAGTGTCTGCTGGAAGAAAAAAATACATCATTTTGTTTGGAAGAGTTGTTGTTCTAAACTTTGTGACATTGAGGAATTTAATTCATCTCCAGTCAGTCGAGATGCAAGTTGACTGATTGTGATACATTGTCGGTGTCTGCAAAAAGTAATCCTGACATAAATCAAGCCATGGTTGCATCTTATTTCCATGCGCAGCTCACTGTCGGCATCCTTCAAGCGGCGGACCTCATGTCCATGGATTCGGGCGGGACTTCTGATCCGTACGTTCGAGTCCTTCTTCTACCTGACAAGAAGAAGAAGTTTGACACCAAAGTCCACAAGAAAACGCTCAACCCCGTCTTCAATGAGACTTTTGTCTTTAAGGTAAGTCCATAAAAGCCAAGGTAAATGAGAGCAACAAAGTCTATTAAGGAATGTATTATGCCAGGTTGGTGAGGCTGCTTGTCTCAGCGAATAAGGTCTGCAGGGACTCGACAAATGTCTCTGGTACAGTTCTGCCTGTCTGCACATTTGCTGCTGATGCAGAGCCAATCTTACTGGACAGTACCGTGTTTCCTCTTGTGAAATGAACATGTCTTCATTTTCAACGTTGCTTCACCGAGTCCATTTGCGTTTTTCACAGGAGCCTGGGGATGGGCACTTGAAGCTATTTCTTTTGACTGATCACTTATACATCCATCCATGCATTTTCTATACCTCCTCTCCTTGTTAAGATCATGGGTTGAGCTGGAGCCCACCCCAGTTGACTAGAACATCCAAGATGGTGCCATAGTTGGCAGCCGTCGGCAAGAGCTCTTCAAGAGCTTTGCGTTTGTTTTTTTTTTGTCTTTTATTTTGTCATATGTTGTTTGTTGTCCTTCGTGTGGACCCGATGTGGACTGTTTTTAGTGTTTTGGCCAGGACATTGGTCGAAGGAGAACAAGCTGTGCTTGATGGTTGCGCCTTCTTAGTAGCATGCGTGTACCAGCGCTGATTTTGATTGAGAGGAATGTCGGCGCTACTTGACTGTCGCCGCTGGACAGACTCGGGGCGCTTGTGTTTTTTTGTGCCTGTAATGGGCAGCATTTTTCACAGGCCCGTGTTGTTCAGCGGAGATGTCGACGCGGTTTGATGGATGGCTTGTGGAGCCGAGGATAAGGAGAGAGGAGCGTCTGCGTGCAGCGCGGATTCATATTTGGAACTGAGAGTCGGCGCTTAGAATTGAAGCGGATTTACATGGGACAGGAGAAGTGAACTGATCTCTTTTTTCATCAATGTACGCTACAGCTTCTTTCAAACTTAGCTTGTAGCAGACGTGTGCACATTTTGAGCATGACGTCTCTGATCCACTCGTGAAAGGACACTTTGATTCTCTCCTCTTTTATGTAGAACTGCTTCAAACAACAAAACTTATGCAGGAAAAGTGGTTACAATTACATGACTGTCCGTGTTTTATGTTATGGGTTGTTATATTATTTTGTTATTGTAGGTTAACTGTTGTGTAAAGCGCTTTGTTACAGCTGCAGCGGTTGTGAAAGCGCTTTATAGTTAAAGATGTATTCTATTGTTTTGTATTTGGGAAGGAGGCAAATGTGAATGAATGTTTGTTGTGTTCATGTGTCCTGCGGATGGCTGATGACCATTTGAGGACGTATCCCGCTTCGCTTGACCAAAGACAGCTGGAAGAGCTCCAGTTCACTAACGATGGTTGCATTAGGATGAGCAGGATGACCTACTGATTAGTATCTACCTTTCAGTCAACAGGTTTCATGTTGGAGTCTCAGCTCTGGCCTTCCTGTGGGAAGTTTGCATGTCCTATCAGTATTTTCACTGGTTTGCTGCGGGTACTCTGGCTTCCTCTCACATTCCAAAAACTTACATCAAATTCATGGAAGACTCTAAATTGCCCATACGTGTCAATGCGAGAGTGAATTTTTGCTTGCTTGCCTCGTGATTTGCTGACCATCAGTCAAATTTCTAAAATGAAAACACTGAGGATTAGCGCGTCAACCTCACGGTGCAGAGGCATCGGGTTCAATTCCAGCTCCGGCCTCCCTGTGTGGAGTTTGCATGTTCTCCCTGGGCCTGCGTGGGTTTTCTCCGGGTACTCCGGTTTCCTCCCACATTCCAAAAAACATGTATGGCAGGGTGATTGAACACTCTAAATTGTCCCTCGGTGTGAGTGTAAGCGCGTATGGGTGTTTGTCTCTGTGTGCCCTGCGATTGGCTGGAAAGGGTCCAGCACCCCCCGCGACCCTTGTGAGGATAAGCGGATCGGAAAATGAATGAATGAATGAAAACACAGTACAATGATAATGCCCGTCTTGGCAAGAGGCGGTACTTACGATTTGATCAAGAGGTCTGAAATGGTTTCTTAAACATTGATTTTTGTTAACCACGCTAGGTGCCCTACGAAGAGCTCGGTGGCAAAACTCTGGTGATGTCCGTTTTCGACTACGACCGCTTCTCCAAGCACGATGTCATCGGTGAGGTGAAGCTGCCCATGAACACCATCGACCTCGGGCGGCCCATTGAAGAATGGCGGGACCTGGAGAGCGCCGATCAAGAGGAGGTGCCCATGCAAACCGAAATGATGTCATTGTACTGTGACTGTTTGACATTAAGTTCAGTTTGAAAGAAGGCGTATTATGCATACCACCCCCTCCCCTCAATTTAATGCAGTTGCCAGGTGTTTTAATAGACGGTATTCGACATTCTTTGCTCAAAACACCCAAAGGATAAAGGATACACACACAAAGGATAACCGTACATCTGTAACACTGTATTTAAATTCGTCAGGCAAGGAGGGCGGTTCTGCAACATGCAAATGCCAAGTCCAGCTTTTGTTACCATCACGACGGGGTGGGGGCGGGGCATTGGGGTTGAGCGAAGGCGTTGCAACTAGGTGAGCGGTTGCTTGTTCTCAAATAGTCCAGAGTCTAACTCCATATAGACAAACCTTTAAACTTGTGGGAGTATTACTTCATCACCAAATTCCTTTGCTGAGCATTTGTGCACGTGCCTGTTGTCATACAATGTTACCTAATGTTTTTCGATGATAACACTGCAGCTCAGCATATCATTTGCCTGTGACACAATAGTGCTTCCTAAACTCAGTGTGGGAGCAGTATTATGAAAATGTATTCCACTGTTATTCCACAATCCGGCAAAATTCACAAAGGCTCCCTCACAGGCACATTTTCGGAAAGAGGCAGCAAATTTAAGATTTTCCACTTTGAGGCTATTTCTGTCAAGCCACTATGTTTGATATTTAAATCTCTTTTACACTGAAGTATGACCATACTGGATGAGAGACTTCAAAATGGTTAGTTGACCTGTCAAGGGAGAAGCAGCACAGCTGGTCCTGGCAATGACTGGAGACATGATTCCTAATATTGCTTCATTATTCTTAATTAAACACCAGTCTTCAAGCCTGACAATTTTGGCATCTGTGCTTGTTCAGCCTGAGAAACTCGGGGACATCTGCATCTCCCTGCGCTACGTGCCCACTGCCGGGAAGCTTACCGTCTGCATCCTGGAGGCCAAGAACTTGAAAAAGATGGATGCCTGTGGATTATCCGGTAGGAAGACGATTGATGAGAAAATGCCACAGTAGCTTCAAGTGTGGTTTTAAGTTTTGGTTTTGATTTCAAACAAAGGTTTGGCTTCAAATGAGAGTTTTAAATTAGGGTATTTTGTCCCAGAAATATAAAACAATCAAACATAAGACATGAAGTATGGCGCGAGTCAGCATGCACTCTTGCTCCACGTGATAACGTATTGTGACGCCACTATGAAAACCATTTGTTTGCCTCACTTTCTGTACCTGGACATGCTGGATGTCGTGGCAGTAAAACCAAGGATCTCGCTCTCTCTCATGAAAGTGGACAATGGCTAATTTATATTCCTTGTGCAGACCCATACGTGAAGATTCAGCTGCTGCAGGGTGGTAAACGTCTGAAGAAGAAGAAAACAACGGTGAAGAAGAACACCCTCAACCCATACTACAATGAATCATTCAGCTTTGAAATTCCACTGGAACAGATGCAGGTAGAGTAGATATCAAACTTGATCCTTGCACGATTCCTCTACTTGTACGAGTCGGTAGATAGTGACCCAAAGTACAAGAACAAGTTTCCTTTGCAGGATGGAAGAGTGGCTAGCAAGTCTCATTGTTCTGAAGTTTGAATCTCAACTTGACCAACCATGCATCAATCCATTTTATGAACTGCTTATAAAGACAAAGTTTTATTCATGAAATATTATGCCTGCTATTCTTGAATTATTTTATTTTCTTATAAAAAAATAGGACTTCTTAAAAAAAAAAATCACCTTTTGTTTTTGACATCAATGGGTCTTTATTCTTGTTATATTTCGCCTTGTTTCTAAACAAAGAAAGACTTCATTCATGAAGGTCTAGCCGATTTACATGACGACTCATCACAATCATTTCACAAAATTTAAATGTCCCAAAGTCATGGTAAGGAGGAATAATTCATTTCATGTTGTTTTATTGGCACACCATCTATACTTTGTATGTCTGGACATTGGTCAATCGAGAGTTGTAGGGCCCATGACTTGTCATGGAGATATGAAAAGAATAAATGAAGATGAAATGAAGAAATAATAATAATTTAAAACATACATAACATCTTGTTTTAGATGAGCAGGATAAATATTACACACTTAATGTTGAGAAAAGTAATTTTACTCATCCCGTGTTGTCTGATCATATTGCTAATCAAGGCCTCAAACAATTGTATCCATTGATTCGCGTAATTATTTATTGCAAATTACTTTACAAACATCCAAGCTATGGCTCCCGGACACCCAGGAGTGTGGCTACGCCCGTTTGAGAACAACTTGTGTAGGTGTCTGCCGAGTGCTTTAATGACACGTCACATTTATAACGATTGCAGAAAATCCTTGTGGCTGTCACGGTGTTTGACTACGACAAGATCGGCAAGAACGATGCCATCGGGAAGATCTTTGTGGGCAGTAAGGCCACCGGGCTGGGTCTCAAGCACTGGTCCGACATGCTGGCTAACCCGCGGCGCCCCATCGCCCAATGGCATGCGTTGCAACCAGAGGAGGACATCGACGGTCAGCTGGCCTCCTTAGCGGCCAAGAAGTAACCAGCAAAGCCCCTAACCATTGAACCCTTCATTCAATTCCTGAAACTTTGCATGACTTATCCCGACTTGTCATGAAACCTGCTCAGCAAAAACTCAGTAGACTAGATTCCATTGAGGTTTCAAGGCATCCCATTTTACATATTAGTGTCTGCTTCTCGAGTGACTTGACTGGACTTTGTTTCATGTCAAGATACTTCTAGACTGAAGTCTGAGTTGGATTGAAGTTTGGGTTTAGTTTGTAGAGCATGCTTTTGCCCACCTGCCCACGGCTTTGCACACCAAAAGTATCCTGGCATCAACTTGCAAATAGGAAGAATAGAAGGGTTTTAGGTTCTGCACTAGAATTGTGCTGTTCGTGTCACCAAGGTGGCTTGCCCGTCTATGCATATGGAATGAATGGAGGATGGTTTGAGATCTGTCTTCAGACTTAAGTGAACATGACTGAGAAATAGGCAAGGACGCTGATCTTGTGACAACTGAAACGACCGCATGGATGTGAAACCACACTCTCCTTAAACCGAGCATAAAGTGAATGAGTCATGACAGTTTTAAAGATTTTTTTTTTTTTTTAATATTTGGATTTCAGTTGGTATCAGACGGTAAGGGATTGGATTTGGCAGCTATGTCTGAAAATTGGTTGTGAGCGATTTCCCAATCTTTGATTTTACAGCACACACAAATGTTGCTAAAAATGTGTTGTATCTGGATTTACACTGCATGGGTCAAGTGACACGACCTTATTTATTTATTTTTTGCTCCCTTTTGACAAAATATGGATATTTGTCAGGGAAAAAAATGGATTTGGATTTCTTAGATAAGAACCAATCTGGAGATAAATCAGACACAATTTGGATATCTGCCAATGCAGGAGGAGTGTATCACATATATATATATAATACACACACACACACACACAAGAGGAAAATAATACTTTACGTTGTCCTACAGTGTAAAAAAACGTACAGTACATTATGAAACAGTTTGTGCATCCAACTGCATTTTAATGCATTCAAGTATTGTGGCTGGTCTTCCCACTTTGGCCGCCAGGGAGCAGTATAATATAGATTTAAATTTGATGACAGGCGGCCCGGTAGTCCAGTGGTTAGCGCGTCAACTTCACAGTCCAGCTCCGGCCTCCCTGTGTGGAGTTTGCATGTTCTCCCCGGGCCTGCGTGGGTTTTCTCTGGGTACTCCGGTTTCCTCCCACATTCCAAAAAACATGCATGGTAGGCTGATTGAACACTCTAAGTTGTCCCTAGGTGTGAATGTGAGCGTGGATGGTTGTTCGTCTCTGTGTGCCCTGCGATTGGCTGGCAACCGGTTCAGGGTGTCCCCCGCCTACTGCCCGAAGGCAGCTGGGATAGGCTCCAGCACCCCCCGCGACCCTAGTGAGGATCAAGCGGTTCGGAGAATGAATGAATGAATGAATTTGATGACGAAACACAAGACTGTCACACGCACTGCTGTGATGGTAATCGGTTTTGCAGAGGATAAAGACTGTACTCCTGTGAGGACTGTTGAATACTTTCTCCGCCTTTGTTGTGTATAAATAATAATTGTTAAAATGTTAAATACTACATTATCAATGCTGGGTTGATGAACCCAGATATGGCATTTTGCAATGTACGTTCGCTATAAACCTTTCAGAAGGTGATTTGATTTGGTTAAAGACCACAACATATTGTTTTATGCAAAGTTATCCAGTAAGCTTAAGCCTGCTGGCAATAAATAGCTTGAAGCAAGCAATTGGCCTCTTTTTTTTTAACTGTTCACTTTCTGCCAAACTATTGCTTGTTATGAAGTTGCCACGACTAAGCTCTTGTAACTCATAATTAAAGTGTAAGTCAAGGTACCACAGTCTTGTTCACTTCATTGTTGTCACTGCCCAGTGTTGACACTTTGAGGAGTTACAAACGTAGGATTATGCAATAACCAGGTCTTGGTATGAAACTGGAATCAGGCACTTCGACCTGCAGTGGAAATCCAATGAATGTGTTCCAATTCTTAGGCGGCATCTCTTACGATCCTTCTCAGACAGACGTTTTCCCAGACTGTCTGTGCACTGCAACACAACTTTGTAATTTATGTTCATATAAAGTTATGTGACACTAGCAAGGCCAACAAGTGGCTACCGAGCATTGTACGTAGTGGAAATGACAAGGAACCCCCCCTCCCCAAGGCAAGATGACCTTATTAAAAAACAATTTAAGTGGCTTCAAAGACTATGTAAGCTAGCTCGGATACTATGCTAATACACTTCTATGTCTCGTTCTTTATGTTTGCAGCACATTGTAGAGAAGAGCATTGCTTTATTGTTAGCATCATTCATCACACTAGACTTAATTTTTTCGACGGTTGGCATTTAAAATAATATCAATATCTATAGGATTTAAATGACAACACATCAAAATTCTACAGTGTATGCGGCGCTTAACTGTGCTAGCCTGGATCAGAAAAGTTGAAAACATACAATTTCAATGTTGCTGTTGCCTCGAAGTAATTTCGTTTTCAGTAGTAAAACATTTGTTACCCTTCCCAAGTTTAAAGGTTTTGAGACGGGTCCAGGGCCTCTTGCTTCAGCTTAATTTTTTTTTTTTTTTTAAAGTGGCGAAATGTAGCATGCCTTGCAGCGTTTCGTTGTCGTCACAGAAACGCTCTCCTCATCAAAAGTCAAAGAGCCCAAATACGCCAACAGAAACAGAAACAAGACTAGATATAGCGCTCGGGGTTCTTGCTAAAAATATTGCCTAAAAGCGCTACTTTTTGCTGTTTGTGCTGACCCTTTTGTTGCCTCAGTCGACCATGATTTGCATCCCTCAAGCTCATTTGTGAATAGGCAACAGCATGAATGTATGAACAACATGATGTAAATAATAGCATGTTTTGAAGCAACGATGTTATGATTATCTTATGTTGGGTTTTGTGTCTTTGTGTCTTTTTTTATAATAAAGCAGATGAAGAAAACGTGCACAGACTCGATGTTTGGTCAAAATGCTGCAAATCAACCCATTTTGTCACATAGTATCCTTCATGTCCTTGATGATGTACCATAATATTGTATTTTGTCCCATTGTCCTATTTCTCCCATGTCTTCTCTTATATCCCATACGTACCATAGTGTGCCAAAATGAAAAATACGTCAACAATAACACACATGAAATAACACGCGAATCACAGCTCTCACTGTCATATTGTGTCCCATTTGTGCCATATTGTTGCCCATTATGTTTCATAATGTGCCATGTTGTCTTGTATTATGTCCCATTTTTTACTGTAGTATCCCTGAATGTCCCTTTATTGCAGTGTTTTTCCAACTTTTTTGGGCCAAGGCACACTTTCATTGAAAAATCTCGCGGCACATCACTAGCTGAAAATGTGAAAAACACGCTTTTTTTTAACATTTAACGTGTTATATTGTTATTATAACCGTTTTTAACATTGAAGAATGACGTTATAACAGCTTTAATTGGAATCAAATGAGCACAAAGAAAAAAGTATTTTATAATCTTTCATATTTATTGTTTCACCGTCATCCGGTATTCGTGCGTCACAAATCCGCTTGTCTGTAGGCTAAACACAAGGCAATTGGCTAGCTGTTGCTGCTCCCTAGCGGTATTAGAGAGTACTACACAATTACTTTCTGGGCGACAGTCCGCACAGGCATACAAATTGGATATTTTCCCTCGGCACATCACAGGGTTTGAAAAACACTGCCATATTGTGTCGCTCTTTAGTTTCCATCAAAGTGATGTGAAGAACTCATAACTTCAGAAAAAACTTATGAGACTTATGAGACTGGTTTGTTTTTATACTTTTTATTATTCAAACCATCAAGTGAATAAAAATAAGCAATACTGTAACTTGAAAGGTAATTTAGAAGTATGGAATAGAAGATGCTTTACCATTTTTGGTCAGTGGGTGGCACCATGAGATCATATTGTACATAAGGTAGAAACAGAGCAATCACATTGGACTTAAAACAAGCACCGCTAATAATAATAATAATGCAGTAATACATTTAACATCCTAAGATGAACTGCAAAATACGTGCAGGACAGTCAGTCTATCTGTGCTGTGCGTGAAAAACAATGTCATTTCTTGGCCATAGTCCCCTCCAAAAAAGGACGGCATGGTTAATTCCTTTGTTTTTATTTTACTATATACTAAATACATTTGTGTTTCAGATGAAAAGATGACTATGAGGCAAATGTTCAGAACTCCAGCTTTTAATCTCCATGTCATTTACATCTAGATGTGTTTAACAAGTCAGGGCTGCACATCTTTCGTTTGAAGCCACCCACTTATAGTGTGAGCAAAAGAATCGGAACATGCGACTGATGGGTGTTTCTCAAGTTTTGCCTTTTGGATTGATTGCTTAAATATTAGATAGTGCTTATTTTTGGCTTTGGCTTGAAAAGCAAACAAGAAGACCAGAAAGCTGTCAATGGGACAAAAGCAAACTATGTTTGAAGCAGAGAGAAGAGGGAAATTTGATCAAAGATATTGCACACAAATTTGGCATAGCCAATTGGGATGTCAATTTTTGGCAATTTACAGAAAAATGCATCCAAACTAATTGGGGCGGGGAAGCTTCATCATGCAACAATGCCCCAAAACACACTGCCAGCACAGCAAAGGACTTCATCCGGGGTAAAATTGGAAGGTGTTCGACTGGCAAGTCAATCATCAGACCTTAACGCCATAGACAATGTGTTTTCTGTTGCTTAGTACAATAATAGTTTTTTTTTTTTCAGTTTCAGGACATTCCACATTGTTGCATTGGCTATGCCCAATATTTGTGCAATTCTGCTGATCGGTTTTCCCTCTTCTCTCAGCTTTTCAAAATGGTTTTCTTTCCTCCCATCAACAGCTCTCTTGTCTTCGTATTTGCTTAACAGCAAATGCAGTTTAAACATTTGAAGCCTAAAGCCAAAAACAAGCACTATCTAGTACTTAAGCAATCACTCTAAAAGGCAACACTTGAGCATCAGTCACATGTTCCAGTACTTTTGCTTACTTGAGAAGTGGGTGGGTTCAAACAAAAGGGACTCTCTGTCCTGAGCTGTTTAACACATCTAGATGTAAATACTGTACCATGAAATAAAAGCTGGACTACTGCCTCATATTCAGGGGGAGATTGTGATATCACACTTCGAGCTAAACTGTCACTGTGATATTTATTTCACATGGACTACATAGATCACCGTTTCCATGGTGATAAACTAGGCTGTAAGGCTTAGAATTTGTATGGAAGTTTATGTTCTGGAATGATGAATAATGCCCTGTAGGCCGTGTCTTTGCATGCGAATGGGGATTCACCCGTCGGTGACACCAAAAAAAAAAAAAAAACAGGAATCAGAGGGATCACCTGTTTGTGTTGTTTTCATGAGACAAAACAGGTAGCGAAGATCACATAATCCCTCCTGCGTTCATCTTGCATTAAATCACTTGGATAATTTGGTGATGACGCGGATCAATGCTCCGTTTTCATCCTTCAGTCTTTGGTTTTCTGTGTGAAGTTCTGCTTTGACCTGAGCAATAAAGAATTTGGCAAAGTAAAGAAATACATAATACTATGGAATGATTTTTAAAATGAAATGCAAATATTCATTGAGGAAATTATTGGAGGCAAAAAACATAAAGGTACTGGTCGTCACTTGTTTGAAATGACTACATCATTAGCTAGCAATATAAATAACCTGCCCGATGTGTAACTTGTCGTTTCTGAATATGGCGGGACCTAAAGTTTCAAATTTAATTTGTTCCATGACCCCATTTGAATCTCGAAACGAAAAAAATGACTCCTTCCAAAATAACATCACAATCTTATGAGGTGTTTTTCTTTTGTCTAACACCACTGTGAATTCCACCTCTCTTCCCAAATTGCTCAAACCGCCCTCGACCTGCTTTAAAATTCTCAGCCACACCTCGACTGCGAGTGTTCACGAGCAGCTCCATGTGCAGCGTCTTCCCCTCCTCACAGCGATGGGCTCCTTCGCACTATCGAGGCGAATGCTTTCTCGTACATCCAAATTGCAAACAATTTTTGAAATTCCTCCACCATGAGTTGAGGTCATTTCTTCTTTAGCACCCTCACTTGTGTTATAAATCAGTGGCTATCATATGGATTGACAGCTCCAATATTTAAGAAAATCTTTTCATTGTTCCTATTTGAGTTGTTTGGAAAAAACAAAAAACAAAACAAGTGGCTCATGATGACATACTATAGAATTCCTCGAAACCCCACAGTGCCTCTCTGTTTTACTGATTTATTTTCAGACCGGAGCTGCCACGTTTGTATCCAAGTCTCATTCACGGATGAACACACAAGTCGTTGTTCGGCAGACGTATAAGACGGTCGCCGGGACCCCGAGGGCTTTGGCATCACAGCGCCACGAGGAGCACAATGGCTGCAAGCCGTGTCAGACGAATGACGACATGATTGATGACAAGAACTAAGGCAGTGAATCCCAACCGGGCCTGGGCCTCGGGAATTCACCAGGGGTTGTCGCAGGAAACTGTACAATTACTTCATTTGTCTCAAAATGATCAGCTGTTTTCCCAAAATGATCATCTCTTTTTAATGAAAGATATCATCCTGACGCCAGTTGACATACGTTGAAAAAGCCGGACGAAGTAATGTAATGACATACACTGCACCTTCACTTGTTCTTCCATGTCAGATATCTTCTTCCTCAGACTCTGACTGTCCTATGAGCAAATAAATAGACTTGAAAACGACAGTATTCTTTCACTCATCACACAGTGGTTAATGGAAAAAAAATGTTCCCCTTTCCTGGAGAATCCTTGAAATGAACATTACTCTTTGACACTCAATCCACATTAGAAAAGAAAAAAAACTTTCAGTTCAGCATAGCCCAGCTGTGGAGGATGTCTGCTTCTTATTGGGGCTCATTTGGACAAATTCTCTCCGAGGAGCTCATTAAATTCATCCAAAATGGCTGCTTCAAACCAAGATGGCCAACTTATTGCTCAGTTTCCTGCATGGGTCCTTGGAGACTTTTTGCATGTCCTGTTCTGATAAACATGTTCACCTGATTGTTTAGCAAACAGGGTAACCACTCTTTTTAAAAATTATTTTCCAGGACTATTTCATCTGCTACAGTACGAATCAAGGTATCGCAACATGCGATAATAATTTCTACTCACGGGCTTTAACTTATATTTGTACATTTAACCAGATTGCTTCAATACTGTATTACCAAACACCAAACAAACAAACAAAAACCAAATGGCTTACTCACAGCTGAGAATTGGTTCAAAAGAACGACTCGTTCGCTAATGTCACAATAAAATAAGATCTCACTTGGATACTGACATCTAAACGACCGACTGCTAAGTAAACCAAAATGATGGAATACGAGCTGAGTGACGAATGAGCTGATGATGGCAGGCCCGCCTTTTTAAAAATCCCAATTTGTTGTTGGCACGGGTTGACCAACCCACAAGTGATTCTCCGCTGAAGCCAAAGATCAATTTCATCTCAAAGCGCGCAGCCAAAAGTGATGGTACCCACTCTACAGTTCTCTGTCACTGAACAGAGGAGACAGAGATATGTAGGAGGAAAAACCTCACGCTCCATACACAGCACTACAGCAACACTCTTGATCTGAAAGTCGCCAGTTTTGGCACTTAATTCTTAGGAGAAAATAAATCCTTACTTGGGTCTGAAACGTCAGTAAATCTAACAACAAAGTCATATCGATGGACAAAATGCAAATCCTCCAATCTGAAAGAGGTGTCAAATCCAGGACCTGAGAGTAAACTCTGCCACAGTTTGTCTTCACTAGAGGCACCTGTGGCGAAAGACAAACTGTAGCAGGATTTTACTTTCTGGACCTGGATGTGAGACCTCCGTCAGATCGACGGATTTGCATTTTGGCCGTAGATATGGAAACACTGGGCGGCAGAGCTGTTTTAAGAGATTCTGCAATTTTATTGGTTGGTAGCGTCACATGGGGCGCTGTGCCGACGACAAGCAGAGATGGAGCAGAAGTTATCCCCCCCCCAGGATAACTCAAGCCTTTCCAGGATATTTAACTTTTTTTTTCATTGGCTACTGGTATATATTTTCCATGACTGGAAAATCGGTCAATCATTTTTCAGGTTTTCCAGGACCGGTGGAAACCCTGGTATAACTTGTGGCAGAGGCAAAAGTTTTCTTTGTATTTCTTTATTTTTTGGGAGGTTGTTTTAGCCACTCCTAACATAAAATAAAGTGGAAGTGAAAAAAGTGATTAATTCATTTGAAGGACAATAAACAATTCCAAGACAGATTTGACATCACAATTTCTGTTGCATGCACATCACGTCTGGTACCTTTTTCTCTGTTTCAAGCAGGTTGGAACCCAGTTCACTCTTTCTCTCCTTCTGCTGCAATGAAAACAAATATTTATTGAGGTATTTAAACGCGTAGCTTGCAATACAGTATGTCAGAGGAATTACACACCAATTGCAGCCATGTGGAGGTTACCTGAGCTCTCTGCAGCTGCTCCTGGATCACAACCAATTCCTGTTTACTGGTTTCCAGTCTAGACTTGAGCCTCTGATTGGTGGCCAGTGCTTTTTCATACATCTGCAAAATTTGCATTGTTTCATGTTTTCTCCCCCACATTTTAAAATTGATTCCAGGTGTCCTAATGAAAAGTTTCTAACATGATTCGATCTGTGCATGTGTTGCATGCAGCATACATTGACAAACACCATCTCCACCACCTCCACGATTCCCCTTTAAAAAAAAGCATCACATACCTTTTTGTAATCATTACACGCTATCTCCTCTTCTGCCTTTTTTCTTGCTGACAATCTGTTCTCCCGTCGCGAGAAGTACGACTCGGCATGGTTTTTCTTTGTGTCGTTGGAGGCGTCCGACAAGCCAGATGAATTTAGTCTGAAAAAGAGAAAAGACTAGCCGCTCGGGCAACTCCAGCTTGCAGGCTTGGCTTAATTTTACGTGAGTTACAACCAAGAAATCCTACCTCGAGAGTCGCTCATGCTGAAATAGAGGAGAAATGTGTTAAAGATTTGCTTGTATTATCGTTGAATGACATGATTTACGTCTGGGGTGGTGCGGTATGCGCGATATAAAGTGAAATAACAATTACAAACGATTGATTCATTTTTTTGAAAATAAAGAGGTAAAATATAAGCGTTTCCTTTCAGAAGTTCATGACTTTAAATTGAATGTTTTTTTTTCTTTTTATATTGTAAATATGGGGGTACCATGTATGTTTGTTTTTTTGGTAGCTTTTTCACATGTTTTGATCATGTTTTATCGATTAAATGGGGGGGTGTCATCTCTGTCAGGATATTTTTTTTACATACTCTGATGTTTGCATGATTTTAAAAAAAGAAAAAAAATGGGGATGGAGTGTACAGGGCAAAGGTGGTGCACCATCTCTGTCTGGAGTTTTTTCCCTTTCATTGTCTCATGCTTAATGTGTCATGAATTTCCGGACGCGCTGTTATTTTGGAACATGCCCTGAGAAGTACGCTGAAATAAACAGTGGGTGCAATTTACTTAATTTTATTTCATCAAGTAGTTGTACAAAATAAAATCATTTGGATCGAGAGACAAGATTGAAATACATGAATGGAAGTAGTCTACTTCAAAAATGCATCTGGATCCAGATGATTTTACTTTGTGCAACCAATTGATGAAATAAAATTGAGTAAATTCAACATAAAAACCTTTTCACTGGTATATGATGGTGACACACTGCGAGTGCTATACTAATAAGTCATATTTGTCTTATCCATGCTTACATTGAACTACACGTTCTGATCATGATCGTATGATTAGAGAGAGACAGAGAGAGAGAGAGAGAGAGAGAGAGAGAGAGAGAGAGAGAGAGAGAGAGAGAGAGAGAAACTATTACTCTATTAGTACAGCATTCATCATATAAAATCAGTTGCATTTACATCACTACTGGCACTAACTACAATTAGAGACTATTCTTCCATGCAAAGCTTTCAAAATTCTGAGCTCAGTGAACCCAGCCTAAAGTCAACAAACCCTGAAATAAACATAAAGTAAACATACCCAAAAAAGGCCATAGCCCAGTAGTGGCTTTCACGGTTTGATTTATTACGACAGCCCCCTGAAATGAAACTGAAGTACTTTCTGTAGTAAGTGTATGACATACAACACCGTCGAGGGCCATCAAATATTGTATTAAATGCTTGATGAGCCCTGAGCATTGGAATTCTGCCATAAAAGACTCAAGAAAGTGCAATGAAAGCCACCAGATAAAATAGGCTAAACAGTGAACAGTGGGACATCTTAATAACCATCCCGTACCTGAGCGATGTTTATTCAATGTCACGGGGAATTGAAATTTGGACAGTATCATATATTATGCTTGTCAGGATGGCAATGTACTGCATGACCAATATACCGTATATGACCATATATGACCTCCATGCCTTTTGGAAGCCTTATACATGGGTGTTGTCAGTATTCCCTCTGAAAGCATCAAGAATAGACTTCGCTTTGGTTGGTTGGTATCATTAGGTCAAGAATGTTGATTTTGACTTGAATCCAACACAAGATGGCCGACAGTTTCACCTAGAAGCCCTCGAATGCCATCTGGACCATAAACAAAGAAGTCGATTACTCACTAGCAAAAACCCTGAACCTCACATTGTGTTTCACATTAGTCCCTCGAAAGCTCTAATCCGTAGAGAGAACACTCTTGATTTTAAATGAAATCCCAAAGAAGAGGAACAAAATGCAAACTCCTCACTGGAAGGCCAGAGATGAAATTTGAACCCAGGACCTCAAAACTGTGAGGCAGATGTGCCGCTCGTCCACCATGTTGCCCGAGCAGTTGAATATGATGAAATATTTATTTTCATTGTATTGAGTACAAGCAGGCGGCACGGTGGGTGGATGACTGCATGAAAGGATGAAAAATCTTGTCAACTTCCTCACTTTTGACAGTCCCTTTAAAAAGTGGGTCAAACAGACAGCTGCGTCATTGCTTTTAAATGTGGAAATGTATACGTGCACGGATAAAACAAAACAGCTCATAAAGACACAAACCAGGGTGTGTAAACACTCATAGATCTTCCCTTAGACATATACAAGCCTTCTGGAGCTTCAGCAGACTGCAGATGCACTCGGAGGAGCCCCTGGTTTAAATTAAAGGCATATCGCGTATAAACAGACTGATTGAGAAGAGCCTACGTGAGGTGATCCGTCTTCACTCTGTCCCATTGGGACGACTTGACTCTTGACTGCTTATTCCCCGGTGGAAAATGTGACTTTCCTGCAGGACGAGTGGGAGAGATAAACAGCCATAAATACTGCGACTGAGTTCCCACAAGCGGATCCAAGCGCTTCTCTTCTGTCTACTGTCATCCTGTTTTTTTTTTTACACTCTCCCCATCCTCTTTCACTTTCTGCATTCACGTTTCCACATTTTCCAAATCCAACAACATTTCTGGTCCCAAAGGTCAAACATACAAAATGTGGGTGTTCGAACCGTTCGAATGTGTGATGTCATCAAATGTTGCAAGAATTCACCTCGCATTATGGAGTCGTGTAATATTTGTTGCATTCATGTAGCTGTTGTGTTGACAAAAAAGTCTTAATTAAATGCATGTATTATTTTTTATTCATTCATCTCATGAAATATAATCAGTCCAATGAAAATATTACATGAACCCATTTTACAAATACTTTTAGGGTATTTACAATCTGACATATATTTGACATTAAAAAAGAAATATGGATAATGGATTCTAAACAAATTAACTGTGAACTATAATATTTCATGACCTAATCTATAAATGACTTTGAGCATCAGACTTTGCCCGCCCCTGATCTAAAGTTACTTGTTTTTGTGATGACACCACAAAGGAGAACTATTGATGACATGTGATGATAATGGTCGGACAGGAAATGAAACTGACAATGAAAGGGTCTTGCTGCTCAAGACAATATGAGGAATACAATTTACTGAGTATCACTTTAATTGTCACGTTGCGGACAAAGCGGAAGGGAACCCGCTTCGCTCGCAACCAAGGTGATCTAAAGGATTCCCAAAACAGCAGACAACAACAAGAACTACGTATGAAAATAAGATTTATTTAACAAAAACCGCACCGCAAAAACGAGACAACAGAAAACGCTGGCAAAAACGAGTACCAGGAAAGGCACGAAAAAACCGAATAACAAAAAACGCTCGCACGAAGGCAAGGAGAAAAACAATCTAGTTGCAATAATAATACACACCGAGAATACACACTCCAAATACGAACTAGCGCACAAAGGCGAAATGCGAGAAGGTACTACGACACAATGGGCACAGCAGTGGCACGGCAAACAATTCTCCGGCAAGTGAAAACACGAAAGCCGGCCCTAATAAAGCCAGTGCCTGATTTCTAATGGGTAGCAGGTGTGCATCCGGCCGAAAACACCGTCTGCCACCTGCTGTCGCAAACGGGACATGACATTAATTAACTATTTGCCCCGATATGGTGGTGCTTCCATGTAGGATTTTGGATTTTGCTTGAAAATGGCCCTGGGTCATGACCGAGGCTAGTTCATCTGTCATGGGCGGAGAAATTCAATGTGGGGATGGTTATTATGCAAATGAATGACCATTTTTCTGTTTTGTTTTGTTTTGTTTTTTAACCGTGACACAGAATTGCAAAAGGGCTCGCTCAGAGAAACATTTTCAGAAATAGGCAGAAAAAAAAGATTAGTTGGTTAATTTCATACTTAATGGGTGGGTAGACACTCCAAGGACCCAACTATTTGTATACAACCTACAAAAGTACATTTTTCAAAAGATGTGCCCTTTAGCTGTGTCATGGTCCCATTGGCTTTAGCAAATGTGGTTTCTTGCTCTTTAAAGCTGTCAGATGCATCACGGGAATTTATCAACACAAAAAAAAAAGATTTATGTCCGACAAAAAAAAAAGATCTTTGTTCAACCACATATGCTAGCGACGTATAGTGACAGGCAGAACTAACTAAATTCTCTTCCACTAGATGGCAGAAGGTACACTTATCTGTAACCTTTGTGTCACCCGTTGCCATTCAGACAGCATATTATTTGTGTTGAACGAAACAGGCCCACATTTGACACAAAGTGAATTGAGACGAGCACATCTTCATTATTTCAGTATACATACTTTTTTTGAGATTTTTCCAATGTAAAATACGTTCTCTGGCCCCACGTTGCCAACAGAGAGGGGATTCATTTTCATACTAAGATGCAAAGAAAAGGGCACACATTGATTGAATTCCTCCGCGAGCGTAAAATGAATCCGACATCTCACCCGCAGGCTCTCGTTGGCTGGGGACGACGAAGATGACGAAGAAGAGTCAGAAGGCGACTTCCTGACGCGTGGATGATCTCTGCTGTGAGACAGTTGGGATGACATGGCTCTGGGTTCCTGTAGCCTGTGCATACAGCTGTTCCACGTCAATGAAGGTACACCCGGATGAGGATGAGGAAAAACACCTCATTTAACCAGGATTCCTGCTTTGATGGTGCGGGGGTCCATTAGATGCTTAAGTGATGGTGAAATATTGAAACTGAAGAGCAGCAGAGGGGGCTTCTGTGGTGGGATAGTGGAGTGGGCGGGCCTGTGTCTGTGCTGCGTGCATCTGACAGTTCTGAAATGGTGTTCACAACGGCTTATTCAGCATGCATTAATGCACTGTTTTCAATAGGCATGAAATAGACCATTGCTATTGTTTTTATTCATTACTGAAATTTTGTATAATGACCCAGGATGCATCCAGTGTCAAGGTAGCATTAGGCTCTGTTAAGAACTTATTTAGCCCTTGTTTTCTAATAACCCCACTTACTAGCTGTCCAATATTGAACCACAGTCATTTACAAACCTGCTCGGCTTTGCTGATGAAATCGTATAATAAACCTATGGCAACAATTCCAATGTGGGTACATCGCTGACCTGATCAAATGTCAACACAGATAGATATACAGTACTTTCTCACACTTTTTATTGCGATATATATCTGAAGAATGTCGTAGAAAAGTGAGGATTCCATTTATTAGGATGTAAGTATCATGTCTGGAAATTCTAATGACACCATGGAACCATGCACAGCGCTACACCAAAAATCTGGCTTGCCCCCCTTCAGCTTGTCTGAAATGTTTTAATTCATATCTTTATTTAAGTTTTAAAGTGTTTTTTGTTTTTTTAGGTTCACAAGTAAGTATGGCACGGTCGACTGGTTAGCATGTCCACCTCACAGTGCAGTGGTGCAAGGATCGATTCTGACTCCGGTTTTACTGTGTAGAGTTTTCATGTTCTTCCCCGTGCCTGTGTGGGTTTTCTCCGGGTTCTCTGGTTTCCTTCCACATTCCAAAAACATGTATGGCAGGTTAATGGAACACTCTAAATTGTCCCGAGGTGTGATTGTGAGCATGAATGGTTGTTTGTCTATGTGTGCCATGCAATTGGCTGGCAACCAGTTCAGGGTGTCCCCCGCCTACTGCCCGAAGGCAGCTCGGAAAGGCTCCAGCATGCCCAAGACCCTCGTGAGTATAAACGGATGAGAAAATAGATGGATGAAGTGACTGGTCAATGGGTGAGTTTTTCAGTTGCTTGTGCTTTTGTGGCGCTTGAAAATAACTCAGCGTACACTGGTTCACTGTGACAGCTCAGAAACTGACACACACACACACACACACACACACACACACACACACACACACACACACACACACTTAAGTGTGTGTGTGTGTGTGTGTGTGTGTGTGTGTGTGTGTGTGTGTGTGTGTGTGTATGTTCCATCATTTACCGAAGACCCCGCTGTATTGCTAATGATCAAAAACTGTTTAATATTACTTCTAACATTACACTTCACTGGTTTATCACAGCCAAAGAATGGTGAGTCATTGTCGTAGCTGTAAATGAAGACATCACAACATGACTACTGTTGCTGTTCTCTGGCTTTCGGCGTTCATGTCGTTTTCTCTGTAAACAAACACACAGAAAGAAAACTGTTTTAATTAAGATCCTCAACGCGTTTTTGTGTTTTTCCAGCAGGTGTCAGAAGACGGCCTTTCCCTCCTGCTGGCATACCTGTTGCCAAACATAATCAGCTATGTATTTAACGAACTCCAAGATGCCATGCTTCTGTCGGATTATTTGTCTTGCGCACATCTTGTGTACAAATGGCAATTCTGTAGAGGCTCAGGAGCTTGTTCTCCGCTCTTGTCATAGTCTTAGTTTGTTCTTATTATATTAGTAGTTAAGTTTGATACGACGTACAGCATTTAGTGCAAAATTTCACATTGCGATATAACGGGAGAATATGGAATTTACCTCTCACGCTCAGCAGCTTGGAGCACTCGGCTGACCCCAGATGGTTCTCAACATGAACTTTGTATACGCCGCCATCATTGGGGCGCACCCTCAGGATGAACAGAGAGCAGACACCACGTACGTTGGTGATGTAGTAGTTACTGTCGACTGAAAGGTCCACGTTGTCACGGTACCAAGCCACATTGGGCGCCGGGTCACCCTTGACCGCGCAGCTCATCTGACACTCATAGCCTTCTGGAGGTATGTGGTACCTCAATGGTGTGATGAATGACGGCGCTGATAATAAATCCACAGATTTTCTCGGTGGTACAGTCACCTTGAACCTTTCTGTTGTGAAAAGACAAAATAACAACAAAAGTTGTCATACTCATGACTCTGAAACTCCCCTGAAACTACACTGAAATTTCTTAAAATTTTTGGCCCTCTTGATCCTGCACAATTTAGCATTTGGACACTTTTGGGAAAATCACGTTACTAAAGTCGACACACTTCACTTTCCGCAGTTGTGTCGCCTTTGGCAATCAGACGTTACTTTATATGTTAGTAATAGGTTGCAATGGTTGAAATATTCATCTTCAGATTTTTTTGTTCAGAATATTCAGAACAACAAAGAGCATACGAGGTAAGGACCAGGAAGTGCAATTGAGTCACGCTAAACCAACAAGGTCTACACCGTAAACAAACATATCGTAGATCGGCCAATGGATAGTAGACTTTATGACTTAACTTACTGTACCAAATATGAATCGAATCATGTCTTGAAAATCAAAGAAATGACCAAGTTGAGACTTTTGGCATACCGTTACATTTGATCATGACTTCTTGTGCTGTGTGATGATGACATATTCTTCAGACTACTTCATTACGCTTTGAAAAGGTCATATTTTGGGACTGCTGTCACAGTGTACACTTAAAAGTGAAAATAAATTGTTTCACAATCCAAACAAATGAGTGTTCAACCGACTTCACAGAATGGATTGTGTCTTCTGACCTGGAGCGTCCACTGTGTTTGGGATGCCATGTAAGACCTACAATCCTCATTGTAATTCATATTTCAAGGAATATCTTCAGTTCAAATTTTATGTGATGGGGTAAGATTAAAAACCAAAAACAAAACAAAGAAAAACAACAAAAGAGTGATGAATCATCAAGCTCTAAGTGACAGAAATGTTGAGAAATAATCACCTATGGTGATTATATATTGTAGCTGCGACTCAAATGAGGATAAGTGGTACAGAGGATGGATGCATGGATGGATGACATGTATTTCATATGCAACTGCGGTTACCTCTTTCCTTTTTGATTTCAAACACAGGTGACACAGATGGCGCTGAAATGCCCATGTCGTTTTTAGCAAACACCCTGAAGTGATATTCCCGCCCGGGCACAATGTCCACAACAGTAAACTTGTTGTTAAAGAGGTTTTCTGCCACCGTCTTCCAAGTTTGTTTGAAGGTGTCCCACTTGGATACGACATAGTGCAGCCTGTCGTCCTTTGTCTCGTCTGGAGAGGGCGCCCAGGACAAAGTGACTGTTCCTGGAACGTTCTGATCAAGCTCCACGGGACCTGGAGGCTTGGGGTCATCTGGAATTTCAATTAAGTAGTCAAGCAAGAGCTTTCTGATTAAAACTGTTTGTTTGTCAGTTATGCTGGCGTT